GACATTACCTGTTGGCAAGTGAAGAGCAATGTTAATTCATACTTAATATTGTCAAAAAAAAAAAAATGGAAAGGAGATTTTCAATGTATCCGAATTATTCTTACTTGATTGCTTCTAGGTCCTACTAAACTGAAAAAGCAAGTTTGCTTGGTAACATCTTTGATCTTTACCTTGTCGGCAAAAAATATGTACCTGTAAAAGAATATACAAACACCAGAAGACATCACGAAATGGCCTGAAATATTTTTTTCTCTTTTTTAATTTTTCTTTTCCAATTAAATTAATTAAGAAGTAGGTTTTTCCCATGGGAATGTATCAAACAAGACCTCAATACAACTCCAAGGTTTAAGCTGTATTTTCAACACTGCATTTTACAATGACTATTTGGAACATATATGAAACCCAGAGACCAATTGAAAGTAACCAAACAGCTCCATCTTCACCACTGTTCTCTGTAGTGATCACTGGAATGCTTACTACTTCCTGCAGAAGTTTTTATTTATTATACAAATGCTATTTTTTCTTATATCATATGCAACTGTTAAATAAACTTGCAGTTTCTTGACTTCACAGTGTCTTTCACATAGTTGGAATCATTGTCTTCAAAAAACTTTCAGGTATTTGCTGTGCCAAAAAGAAAGATGTTATCCCTGGTTTACTTTTTCTTCAGCAGAAGCAATGACATAAGATAGCTTAGCCTAAAGTTAGTAATCCTGAAACAAGAACATCCCCTCTCAAAATTTTTTTATTCCACTTCTTATGATGACAGTGCAATCGTGTTACGAAATTATAGATTAAAACATCCCAACTTCACTTATTTACAAAAGCTTATTCTTTCTTATTCATCAATGAAAGTTCAAAAATTTTCAACATGATATATGCCAATTTGCAAAGCATAACCGCAATATCTGTCGAAGTCAACCACATAAAGAACCAAATCCTTTCTCTTTAATACATCAATCATGTATGGGAACCATCAAGAGTGAAAAACATTATGGGAGCCAGGTGGTTTGTTCTCTTTGTAGATGATCACGTAGAAGAATGGGGTCCTATATAAATAGTTCGGTATGAGTAGTAAAATAAAATACAATTACTTACAAGAGAATGGTATATTACTAATATATCCTTCACCTCACCTACTACCTATATTTACTTAATATCACACTAGAATAACTTGGACATATCTGATGAAAAAAATTTGAAGTTTGGGAGATATTTAAGAAATTCAACAAAATGATCTAAACTCAATTCCACACTAAACTTGAGATCCTTAGGATTGATAATACCAAAAAATATTTTAAATTGACTCTTGGAAATTACTCAACAGACCAAGGGATTGTACACCAAAGTCCTTGTGTTGATACGCTTCAACAAAATGGGATAGCTAAAAGAAAGAATCATCACATCCTTGAGGTAACCGAGTTACTTGTATTCTCAACCAACGTGTCGAACAATTTTTAGGGGAAAGCCATACTCAGTACCACTTACCTTACCAATAAAATGTCTTCTCGAGTAGTAAAATTTATAACACGAAGTCAGAGATTGTTTGATACCTATCCACATAAATGAACCATGTCATCCATCCCAACAAATGTCTTTGGATGTGGTATTTGTTCATGTTCGAATATTATAAAATATTCCATTTACATAATAGTATGATTATTTTTCCAAATGTGTTAGTGTAATTAATAGTGTTTTATGTTGATTACCATATCTGAATACATCTATATATATATATCCCTATTCTCATTTCAATAAAAGATATGTAAATATTCAGTATTTTTCCTTCTCTATCCATTTACATGGTATCAGAGATAGGGTTAAGATTAGGGTTTTAGGAGTCAAATTTCATCAGATCAAAATAAGAGTTAAACAACTCATTCCCGGTGCCGAAGGAAGTTGACCAGCAATCTACAGCCAGTTCAGAATGCGGCCATCACAGTGGCGCGCGGAAGAAGCCGAAATGGTGGCTTGGACGGTCGGCTAAGGCTGTTTGCTTCCGGTTTTCCGGAGGAGTGTATTTCTGTGCGGTTTGCTTTCCCATTGAGGATAGAAGCAACAGAGGGGCTTGGTCGACCGACTCTGTGCACGAAACCAGAAGGCTGAAGAAAGAAAAGGTGTAAGATCTTGCAAAAGCCATCCATTATACAATTTTATATCTTATAAAAGGTTATCATGTTAGTTTTAGGCATTCGTTGCAAATCTAGATAATACTCTTACTCCTAAGACAATCCAAAAAGCCATAAAAATCTCAGATTTGAAGATAGATTCATCGAAAGAAATGAGGACTGTAAAGAAAAATGGCACTTCAAAAGTCACCAAACTAACAGAAGGGAAACAAACAATACAATATAAGTAGGTCTTCACTATGAAATAAAAAGCTGATGAGAATGTTGATAGTTACAAGCTCCCTAGTTGCAAAAGAGTTCACACAGTCATATGGTATTGACTACAAGGAGACGTGCCCCAATTGTCAAGCTAAACACAATCAGGGTCCTGTTGTCCTTAGCAACAAATCTTGATTGGTCACTTCATCAACTAACTGCAAAAAATGCTTTCTTGAATAGATAACTTATAGAAGAAGTATACATGAATATCCCTCTAGATTCTGAGACACAAGCTAATATGGATAAGGTAGCAAGTTAATCAAAATTTTATATAGATTAAAATAATCTCCCAAAGTATGGTTTGACAGATTCAACAAAACACTAAAAATATTTGGATACACAGTGTCAAACAGACGACACAATGTTCGTGAAGCATTCACACAGAGAGAAAATTGTCATACTTATTGTCTATATGGATGATATAGTTCTAACAGTGGATAATGAAGAATGACTTATGAAACTCAAAAGAATCATTGCCACGGAATTTGAGACTAAATATCTGGGGAATTCGGAGCATTTCTCCAGGATAAAAGTAGCCTGGTCTAAGAAACGAATCACAGTGTTTGAAAGAAATATGTAATTGACTTACTGAATGAAACTAGAATGTTACGGTGCAAACAAATCAAGGCCCCAATGGATCCAAATATCAAGTTTGGGAGACAAGGAGAAAATCACCAGTAAATAAGGCAAGTATCAAAGACTAGTGGGCAAACTGACATATCTCTCACACACTAGCCTGAATATAAGATTTACAGTAATGTTATAAGTATCATGAATAGCTAATTGAACAACACTTAGGGATTGTAAATCAAATCTTATGATACTTAAAATAGCACCTGCTAAAGGGCTATTATTTGGAAAAACCATAAGAAAAGATGTAGAAGTCTTCATCGATGCTGACTGGATAGGGTTAGTTATAGACAGGAGATCAACTTTTGGATATTGTTCATATGTATAGGTGAATCTAGTGACATGGCAAAGTAAAAAACAAAGTGGTAGCTATAAGCAGCACTGAGGTCAAATCAGAGCTGTGACACTAGGAATATGTAAAGAAATGTGGCTCTCACGTGTACTTAAGAAATTACAAATTAAGAATTCTACTCAAATAAAAGTGATGTCCAACAGGTTATCCACAATTTGTGTTGAAAAGAATTCAGTTCACCATGATAGGATAAAACATCTTGAGATAGATCAAATACTTCATAAAGGAGAAGATACAACAAGATAATTCATGTTGTGCACATTCTTTTCAATCAAAAAATTGTTGACATACTCGCTAAGGTATTGTTGAGAAAGAATTTTGAAGGCTCAAGTGCCAAGATTTGCATGATTAACATCTATGCCTACCTTGAGAGAGAGTATAGAAATACTAAGAGAAGATTTAGGAGAGGAAATAGGATCTAGATATGATTCTCAAACCCTATAACTAAGAAAGTTTCCTAAAGTCCTAAAACAATATTTCTTTAATAAATTTTTTTCCTATTTTTCAGGGACACGTTTGGTATCCAACTCTCTAAATATTGTATCGTAGTATAAACAAATATAAGAATAAAAAATTATCATTCAATATAGTAGAGACCCTAGACTACCTTGGTCGCAATCGAGTTTAAGTGAGAAGATAAAAATCAAGATTTTGTAGCAACTACAAGCAGAAGCTCTAATACCATGTTAAAACTCAATAAGTCGAGCTAATAAGGTGAGAGAATATTTTGTTATATTCAACACATGACTTACATTGGTTTCTAGATATTCATAAGTTGGGTTCCATAATCAGAAACTAGTTTCCTTTAGAAGATAATAAGAAACTAGTTATACATGGACGCAAATAATAAGGTATGCCATAAATATTGATTACAATCAAATAAGAACACGAACAAAATAACAATGGGAAGCAAATCCCTAACAGGCAATAGACAGGAGATCTCAACAGCCAACAAATGCATATTTAAATGGTATAAAGTATTATTGAAAAAAGGTTTTTCCTCAAAAAGAAAAAAGAAAAGAAAAGAAAAGAAAAACAGGCCATGCCATCTAAAAGTGAAATTCAATAGCATGCACAAAAAGCTTTAAAAAGAAAGAGCATATTATGCAACAAAATAGTACACACAATTCAATGTGAAGTCCTAAAAGGAGTGAAAATGATTCACGTACTTCTTGAGCATTTCAGCTATGCTCTCACAGGTTGTTGGTGAGACCACCAACATGATTGCATTTTTCTGTGAGTTTAAAATTTTGTAGTAAGTTAAGCAGTCACATGATTGGCTGTGAAAGCATAAGATATAATATGACAAACATGCTAAAAGAGGGTACCATGACCCATGCATGTGCTATGTCTATTGTCCTTGCCGTTGGCGTAACAAAAACAGTGTCACATCCCTACAGATTTCAAGGAACAATTTCACAAATTTTTCATCTATGACCAAGATTGAGGCAGAAGTTCATGTCAATAACAGAAACCAGGACAGTATAACCCTCATACCACACCTGTCCTTCATGAAGAGATTCAAAGTCACCAGTACTTTGGTTGTGAAGAAACTGAATACGGTCATCTCCACTGACTTCACAATAAGGAAACAAATAATTTTTCCTCCATCAAATAAATTATAAAATTTGCTACAAATTGCAATGAATATGGTTTTTAAATTTAGCATCATTAATAATATCAAGGGTGAAATTCAAAAGCTAATATTTACCTTGGATTTGTAAGAGAAGACAGGCAATATGAAATTTCCATAAGTTAGGGACATAGACATATGATAAATGATGGAGAAAGTCCATGAAAGAAGAAGAGGAGAATACAGTCAAACCTTGTCACTGGAATGAAAATATTGCTGTTGCAAAAACATCTGGCATTGCTTTTTGCGTTAAGAAATTATAAGAAATTTGAAAATGATGCATGTGAGGAGAGCCAAAGAAGAGGTACCTCTTATTCTCCCAAAATGTGAAAGGTCCACAATCTAAGCCATTGATAAAAAAAGCCGAATCAGTGAACGGAATCCAAAAGAAACTATGCAGTATCGAACTGTATTAATAAGCCACAGATTTGAATCGCATCCAATAGAACCTGTAGCAACTCCCTCCTAACATAAAGGAGTTTCACATGTTTTCATCTTCTATTATAAAAAGATAGTTTAAGAAAATAAGATATCACACTTCAGACACTTCCTCTTATTATGAAAAGATAGTCCATATGATAATATTGTTGACGCAGAATGGGCTAAAATTAGATTTCTTAAATAGATTAGAAATTATAATTATATTAAATATAAAACTACTAAACTATTTAAGAGTCTATTATTATTATATTATTAAGAGTATTATTATAGTTTTAGTAACTTATAATTTTATTTTTATTAATACTTTTCCTATTTGTTTTAATATTTCTTCTTTGTATCAAGATTAGTATTCATAATCTATTAATTTACTATTTAAAAAAAGTTACTAAGAGATCATTGTAAATAACTTTAAAACTTCACTTATTAGACATATTTTAGTTATTTAATAAAATACATTTTGAGATTTTCTTAAATTTGTAATTGTATCATGCAATCAAATTCTTAAATGTGATGCTTAATACTTTGTAAAAGTGACAATAAGAAAACCTAGTGTGATTTTTGGTTTTTTTTTTTCTTTCTGTTTCTCCTCAATCCCTAATTGGACAAATCAACCCTGTTTATCCTACATCAATTATCAAGCCTCCAATATCTCCTACTAGTCACTTCATCTAAGGCACATTTAAAGTCATATTAATCATTCAATTGTCTCCCAAATGGGAACATCAACTTTTATTTCATGAATAAAGTCATTTATTGAATTTTTAAGGGATTCAATTTACAATTCCAGATGTCTCTTGTAATGGGTTAGAGATGAAAAATACTGAATAATTCTTGTGTTCTTATTGAAATGAAAAGTCGCGATATATATACATGTAAACGGATTTATATATGGTAACCAACATAAATTACCCTAATTATTTTCTTCTTAATTACGTTTATATATTTAGAAAAATAATCATATTATTATCTATAGAGAATATTCAACAATATTTTAACATTCCCCCTCAAACTGAAGTATAGATATTAATCATGCTTACCTTATTCCGAAAATACTCAATCCGTATTTCATTAAGAAGTTTTGTGAATACATCACAAAATTGTTATCCCGTTTTCACATAACCAGTAGATATAAAGTTTTCTTAAATCTTTTTTCGGATGAAGTGACAATTAACTTCAATAAGCTTAGTTCTCTCATGATATACAGGATTTGAGGTAATATGAAACTCATGCTGATTGTCACACTAGAGTTTTGCAGAAGATGTGGGCTTCAAACCCACTTCATCTAACAGATGATGTATTCATAAGATTTAACAAGTGAACTGAGCCATAACTCTATATTCGGACTTTGCACTTAAGCGAGATACAACTGTTTGTTTCTTATTTTTCATGATATGAGATTCCCACCAACAAAAACCCAATAGCCGGTAGTAGACCTCCTATCAATCTTAGATCCAGCCCAATCAGTATCAGTAAAACATTCAATGTGAGTATGCCCCTGATTATTAAATACTATGCTGAGTCTCGGAACACCTTTTAAGTAGAACAAAATATATTCCAAAGCCTCCGAATATTTGACTGTAGGTGCTGCTATAAACTGGTTAACAACACTGATAGGGTATGCAATATCTACACGAGTCACAATAATGTAACTCAATTTTCTAACAAGTCGCTTGTATTGCTCTGGGTCATCAAAGGGATCACCATCATCTTTACTGAGAGTACATTTGGTATCATCAGTGTATTGCATGACTTAACTCCCAACTTTCTTATTTTTGCAAGTACATCAAGTACATACTTTCTCTGAAATAACAGAATCCCTTCCTTACTTCTTGTTACTTCAACCCCTTAAAAGTATTTTAACTGTTCCAAGTATTTGGTATTGAACTTTATATGCAAGAATGACTTGAGAGAGGACATTCTTGCATGGTCGTCTCCTATAATCACAATATCATCAACATAAACAACAAGAATTATAATACCGCCGGTTTATTGTCTATACAAGATTGAATGATCACATTTGTTCTCCTTTAATTTGAACTTACATACTACCTCATTAAACTTACCAAACTACGCATAAGAACTCTGCTTCAGATTAGACAAAGATTCGTTCAAATGACAGATTTTTCTATACTCCCCCTGAGTAATAAACTCAGGTGGTTGCTGCATATACACTTTTTCTAAGAGATCACTATGAAAAAATGCATTTTTAATATTCAATAGGTGTAAGGGTCAATCTCAGGAGGCTGCAATAGATATGAGTAAACGAATAGAGGTGATTTTGGCCACATGAGAGAATCTATCAGAATAGTCCACCCCATAAGTTTGAGCATAGCTTTCGCTTCCAGTCGAGCTTTAAGTCTTGGCACAGAGTCATCTGAATTCACTTTGATTGCAAATACCCATTTGTACCCTATAACATTTTTTCGTTTGGGTAAATCTACTAAATCCCAAGTATGATTATCATCAAAAGCATATATCTCTTCAAGCATAGCATTATTATGCCAACCAGAGTGATTCAGAGGCTCCTTAACTATTTTGGGTATAGAGGTTGAATCTATAAAAACAATTAAAGTATTAGATGGAGACAGATGGTCATATGATATAAAATTAGCAATGGGATAAGTTGGTGTAGGAATGGTGTACTAACGTTTACCTTTACGAAGACCAATGGGAAGATCAAGGTCCTGTGCGATAGAATCATATGACGACAGATCTAGTGCAGAACATTTATCATCAGTTTGTTGTCTTCTGAAATAAACATTAACAATTGGTGGTGGTACATGAGTTAGAGGCACACGAACGCTATCATCAACTTGCTCGAGTATAGCTAGAGGCACATCATCTAGAGGGGGTACTTTTATTTGTTTGCTCAGCTAAGGCGCCTGGTGTGAAATTATAAATGAGTCACTTGTTATCCGCCTCGAAACTTGTAGACTTGGACGATAAGGAGAAGAACTATATATTTTCTGAAAAAATCATATCAGTTGATACTAAATATTTATTGAGATCTGAAGAGTAACACCTGTATTCTTTCTAGAGGCGAGAATACTCCAAAAATACATATTTAAAGGCCTTTGGGTCCAATTTTGTCACAGTAGGTTGCACATCTCGAATATAACAAGTGCTATCAAATATCTTAAGTTGCACTGAAAACAACGACTGATTTAAAAAAAAAAAAAAACTGTAAAGAGCATCCTCATCAAGCACTGTTGATGACATACGATTAATCAAGAAACAAGCTGTAGAAACGGTATCAACTCAAAATTGCTTAGGGACTTGTGTTTGGAACAAGAGGGCTTGAGTTGTTTTAAGTAAATGTCTGTTCTTTCTCTCAACAATCCCATTTTGAGATAGTGTATCAACACACGAGAATTGGTGAAGGATCCCGTGTTGAGTCATATAGTTCTAAAATGAATTTGACATATATTACTTGGCATTATCACTCCTCAATATATGCACAAAAACATTGAATTGTGTCTTGATTTCAGTACAGAAACCACAAAAGTGAGAAAATACTTCTGAACGATTTCTCATAAAATATATTTAAGTCATGCGAGAAAAATCATCGACAAAAATAATGAAATACTTGAACCCAGTTTTGGAAGTAACAGGGCAGGGGCCCCAAACATCATAATGAACTAACTCAAAAGCAGATTCAGCTTGTCTATTGACCCTTGAACCTGATGGACTACGGTGATGTTTTGCAAACTGACATGACTCACAATCTAGTGAAAATACATTATGAAAGTGAAGATATAACTTTGTCAACACATGTAGAGATCGATGTCTCAATTGATAATGTGCTTCAAATGGAGAGATAATATTAGAGCAGACAACTGATCAAGGTAGCCAAGGATCAAGAATGTAAATACCATCTGACATATTTCTTTTACCAATAATTTATTTTCTCATAAGATCTTGAAGAACACAGTGATCAAGAAAAAATTTAATACAACAATTTAAATTTTTAGTAAGTTTACTCACAGAAATCAGATTGAAAACAAGTTTAGGTAGATTTAATACAGATGACAAAATAATAGATGACATTTGTTTTGTGGTCCTCGAACCCACAATAATATATGTCGACCCATTAGTAATAGTTATAGGAAAATATGTTTTATATGGTTGAAAACTATAAAAAATATTAGGATTACCTGTCATGTAATCTGTAACACCAAAATCAATCACCCATCTGTTTGAAAAGAAGATAAGATATTTTTTCTCTAATTCAGTAAGAGTAGAAAATTTATTCAAAAATTCCTGATACTGAATAAATTTAGTATACTCATAAACTAAAATCATAACAAGTCTCTTAGAAGATGAACTAGCAGTAGCAGCAACAATATTAGCAATTTGTGTTATCCGATTGTGATTCTGCAATTTATTACAGTACTGCTTTATATGCCCTTATTCACGACAGTAATAGCAGATAATATTTTCATTCATTTTAATTTAGAAATTATAAAAAAATACCACTCAAAATACCCAAATCACAATAGTCAAAGATACCCAAAAAACACTGCAAATATACCAGAAAATATGAGAAGACAGAGTACCTTTTCACACACGGATATCAATAATCCTACGAGAACCTCACTATCAACCACCGGAGAACCTGTGCGACCGCATGCACCGCAGTCGAAGAGCCACTCGTCGTAGCCGGAGTTAGAAGCACCGTTGCCTAAAACCACCAAACAAACTCCTTTCGGCCAGAAATCACCACAGAACTTCAGTGCCAGCCCTAATCCGGAATGGTGCTCGCAAAAACACCCCAAATCGCGCTGGAGAGCGAAGAATCGCTTGCTATTGCCCGATCTGCTCCGCCGCGCCTTTTCCCTCTTCGGCCTTCTGGTTTCGTGCATAGAACCAGCCGACCTAACTCCTCTGTTGCTTCCATCCTCAAATGGGAACCCATAATGCACGAAAATGCTCTCCTCTGGCAATCTTGCCGCACACAGCCTCAAACCGCCGCGCGAACCACTTCTTTGGCTTCTCCCGCGTACACCACCATGTTGGCCGCACTCCGAACTGGCCTTAGATCGGTGGTTGTCTTTCTCCGGCGCCAGGAATGGGTTGTTCAACCATTCTTTTGGTCTGATATGATTTGACTCCTAAAACCCTAACCCTAACTTTAATATCATGTAATGGATTAGGGAAGAAACATACTGAATAATTCTTGTGTTCTTATTGAAATGAAAAATAGGAATATATGTATACATGTATACGGATTCATATATTATAACCAATATAAATTACCCTAATTATTTTCTTCCTAATTAACCTTACATATTTAGAAAGATAATCATATTATTATGTATAGAGAATATTTTATAATATTCTAATATCTCTCAAATGGGATTCCACAACCAAAACAAACTAGCTGAACTAGACATTGAATACTTCCCAGGAAGCAAATCAGTGTGACACAAATTAAATTAATTAGGATATCTTAAGACACAAAATAAATTGAGAACATACACATGCCAAAAGTAGCATTAAACGTTTAGATTAGCATCCAATAAGACCACTTTTTTGAAATAAAAAGAAAGTATTATTATGCATAAGGTATCAAAGGAGTACCCCCCGAATAAAAATTACTTACATGTCAATCAAGTGGTTCATGACAACACCAAAGTCAACCAAATCTTTGATGTTATGACTCAACAAAATAAAGCCCAAAATATGAATACATTTATCTCTAATTTTATAAAATTAGTTTTTATACTCTCAAAAGCTCTCCTATTTTTTTCCTTTCAGACATCAAATATATAAGTGAAATATGAATAAATGATGTTTCTTTTACAAAGCACACCCATGCC